CATTGGCATTAAAATTGCCTGATATAGCCAAAGAGGAAATCTGGCGGTGGTTGGTTCTAGAAGAAATAAAATAAATGATGATCGTTTTTAAAATGTGTAACTGTCCACTTTTGAGTATGATAAATACTCAACTTTATTCAATGGGCTTAATGTTGCAGATTCATATGATTGACGCACACGGCATCTACACTTCTGTCGTTTTGGGAAGTACCTTTCAGCACAGAGAGGCCAGGTATGAAGTCACTGTGCCTACAGGAGTCTGGGCTGCGGCAGAAGTTATAAACGGAGACTTCGTGCTCATAAGCTGTGTTGTTGCACCAGGTATGTGTTAACGTTACAAAATCATGAAAGGTAAAGCGAAGATAGTTGAAAGCAAAGTGTGTGTGTATGTGTGTTTGTGTGTGTGTGTGTGTGTTGTGTGTGTGTGTGTGTGTGTGTGTGTGTGTGTGTGTGTGTGTGTGTGTGTGTGTGTGTGTGTTTGTATGTGTGTGTTTGTGCATGTGTGTGTGTGTATGTATGTGTGTACGTGTTTGTGTATGTGCATGTGTGTGTGTATGTGTGTGTGTGTGTGTTTGTGTGTGTGTGTGTGTGTGTGTATGCGCGCGCGCGCGCGCGTGTATGATAGTAACGCGGTTTCCGCTCCGCTCTAGATCTGTTGTAGACATTAGAAAATCGAATCGTCATACATCTAGAATGTCTAAAGTATGACATTATACCAATGCGATAGATGGAAAACTGTTCCGATTATTCAGCTTCTTGTTTTCCCAGGTTTTGACTGGAAGGGTTTAGAGCTTGGCCAGGAAGAATACCTGGTGACGTCCTTTCCTCATCTAACTGGCATCATTAAATCGTTTTGCAAGCATTAGATAAGAACGTTATATGTTGTTTGAAGGTAAAACGTTTTCTCCAACACAGAAGGGAAATGTTCTCACCTAGAGCTTTCGACCAGTCACTCTGGTCTTCCTCAGTAGACTGACTCAGTGAGACTTGTCACGTGGCTTCTGTGAAGTGTGACTTCGACACTGGGTCAAATGTATCTGGTAAATGGGGTTGGTCCCTGTTATATGCCTCTTTTCTGAATAGCCTGATTTGGGGAATAAAGACTAGCCAGAAATACTAGCGGGCAATGGGTAGGTACGAAAGGGTATGGTCGACGTTTTTCGCCGTGATTAGGAATATTAAAACTTGCCTTATGATATTGTAAAGTCCATTATTTTGTACGTACAGCTGTATACGTACTTTCAAACTCTTTATCGGAAGACGTTTTGTGGTGAACAGTATTGTCGTAAATAAGTTGTACCATCATATTTTTCATGCATGTTTGTTTATTTTTCAATTCTTTAAAAATCTGTTTATTGCACATTAAGTTGATAACAAAAATAAAAATGAAAGTATTGTGCATTGCAAAAGTTGTACCGTATTATACTTCCAAAAGCCTTAGGCAGACTACAAAATCCAATCTTACTGTCACCTTGACACAAGAAATAGATACGAAGTGTGAAAAAGCTAGCTATGGTGCCGCTGGTATATTTATACACTTCTATGAAGAAAGCGGTTTTTGTTTTCGCATGTTTAACTTAATTTTACACGAGAGTGAAGCATTGCAGTTTCTTTCCTGCCAGTCTACCTTCTGAATCTGTGTGTACTCGCTACCCTGTTTTTGTCAGGACAGCGATTGCAAATAGCCCCGTTAGACGGTTACAAGCAACCTAAAAGCTAACAAAATTCATAGTCCGGTGCGTCTCAAAACCATAAGATTGTATCTGGCATGTACAGGAGAAACAACGTTGAATATTACCACGGCTTGTGTACGGTTGACAATCAAATCTTACCATACAACCGACCTAAATGCTTAAAAAATTCATTGTCTGGTGCATCACAAAACCACAAGCTATAAATCCGTTGGATGTTGAATATTACTATATGGCTCGCACAGTCTTGCGATGCAAGTGATTGTCTGGGGCATCACAAAACCGCAAGAGCTAAATCTGCCGTACAAGAGAAACAAATGTTGAATTTAACTATGGCAATCAAATCATGACACTTGCACAGTTGACAATGAACTCTCGCCATGCAATTGGCCTAAACGTTTATTTGGAAAACAGCATATTGTCTGGTACATTGAATTTTTAAAATGGCACTAGAAAGAGACACATTCCTGTCTGCCACGTGTCACACATCTCTGTCTGACACGTGTGTCACTTTTCTGAGAAAAAAGGTGATGAATATTAATATTCCATCATTTGACGCAGCTGAAATATCAACCGCCCCTGTACACTCTTCACTCCGTTCGTTGGATTGTCTGACAGATCCACAAAGTTGCCGCTGGGCATGGAATCTGGTTAGGTTTGGTCAAACTTAACACCAGTTAGAAGACAACGTCATCTGCAGAAGTTGTACAAGGTAAGGTTGTTTCCGTTACAAAGCAGTGCAAAAGAATCGGATAATTTTCAGGTCTATATCTACGTCTTGTAGGATCCGACCATAATCCAGTCGGACGGCTCGTTTTCTTGCTAACCGATATTATGTTCAATAAACCGGTTATCAACATCTCTAGGTTAGAACAGAAAAAGTATAATCTTCCCAACATTTTGTTACAGATTGTTCAACACGAAGATCACAATGATTGTGAGACCTTCCCTAGTCAAGGTTCAAACAAGAAGCTGCAGGTTTTTAAGTTTCCTTATCGTCCTCTCCCTGTTCGTGGTAGCATCTTGTTTGGTAAACAACCAGCGCTGTCGAACCCGTCGAGGTATCGTTAAATGCTTGCTGGACCACTCCAGATTAAACGACTTTCCTTCGGGACTGCCAGCTAATACTGGCGCCTTGGATGCCTCGTTTAATTGCATCAGAAATCTCACCCATATCCCTCCGCTTGATGATCTATATACACTGACTCTAACATCGAACCGTATTACAACCGTCTCTTGGACATCGCTACGCCAGTTACCGTCTTTAGAGTATCTATACTTGTCTGCGAACAGAATTTATTCTGTGAATTTGGGTGCGGTTATACAGCACCTTCCAAAACTGAAGCATATTGATGTGTCGAAAAACAGGCTCACGTCAATCTCCGCCAATGAGTTAGGGCTTCCCGCGAAAATTTATGCGAACATTGACAAAAATCCTTTCCGTTGTAGCTGTGAAATAACGTGGTTGACCAACAAGGTCAAATGTTTGAAAGAATGCGACCAGTCGCGTGAGTGTTGTTTTGCCTGCGAAGCCTGCTTTCTTGAGTCAAAGCTTGAAGAAGATAGCCTTGTTTGTGCCAGTCCAGCAAATTCGAAAAAAATTCCTTTCGAAAAATTCGTTCCACCCTTGGAAGCGTGCGACTCAACAACTACTAGTATACAGACGGCGGGTGTTCGTGAACGAGTTACAGCAACTTCGCGTTCTTTTGCTGCTAAACTCCCGGAAGCTGACAAAACTTCCACTGACACTCAACGTCAGAGTGGTATGTTTAAGACAAGTACACCTGTAGCGAAGATTCAAACTGTAGTGCACATGTCCACGCAAAAGGGTCTTCTTCAAACTGATAATTTGGCGGGCTCTGGAGCACTCTTCAACACAACATTACAAGATGGGAAAATTAACGCCGAGCTTAATTTTGTGCATATCATAATCAATGCGTCGGCCGTTTTATTGGGGGTACTTTTCATCTTGCTCATAGCAAGAAAGATTATCATGATAAGCCGAAACCGTGGCTCGGAAGACGACGTGAATATTATTACTACAGTGAATGGTGTTCCGCTAGATCAGATACGGCCGCCAATACAAAACACTACTTACGAAAGCAGCAGCTCTTGTATTCGTCGACCTTTGCCAGAGCTGCCTACGGCAGCCAGCAGCACCCAAACCAACGGAGCTGTTTCTACCAATAGAGAAACTGAAGGAGAAAACATCTCTGAACATGAGTATGCGAAAATACACGACTACGAGGAAATTAACTGAAACTATGTCATTTTAAGTTATCAAATCAAGGCTATCCAGTTTACAAGCCATTTTACCAGAAAAATGTCGACTGTCTAATAAGTCCTAACATAACTCACAACTGAAGTATATGGAAATCTATGGGTAGCATATTGATTTCATGTTTCCCAGCCAAACCAAACCCAACCCACCCACCCAGCCAACCAACCCAACCATCCACCACCCAGCCAACCAACCCACCCATCCAACCAACCCACCCAGCCAACCAACCCAGCCAGCCAACCACCCAACCAACCA